CTAAATAAAAAAAAAAAAAAAAAAAAAAAATGTTGGCTGTCCCCTTTTCGTTATTTCTAACTGTATCAGGGACCAAGTTCATTTGGTTGTTCAGTGCTCAGTATAAGGCTAGATAGAAACCAACTCCATGGAAGGCACTCTCACCACCCTCCATGGGAGAATCATGGGCTGAGGCAGTCTTCTGGGTGTGGGCTAAACTTGTGTAGGGGAGGGACTGATGTGGGTACACTGAAATTGCTCTTCTTACCCATATAAAATGCCTGCTTCTCTCTTTGTGTTCCTTTAGGATGCTTCTACTTCTTAGCTGGAATCTGAATTCCTCTTCAAGGTATTTTGGTACCAATATTATTGTTAAATCAATGTTTCTGTGGAGGGGTAATGTATAAGGCTTTCTACTTTGCCATCTTGCTGACATAATCCCTCATTCAGAACTTTAAATATATAATCTACTGCCTTTGGCCACATGGCTTCAAGTGAGAAATCAGCTGTTAATATTACTGCACATCCCTTGTACCTGAGGAGTTGCTTGTCTCTTGCTACTTTCAAGATTCTATCCTGTCTTTGTCTTTCAACTGATTAATTTTAATGTGTCTTGGTATGGATCTTTTTGCATTTATCCTTCTTGGAAGTTATTTAGTTTCTTGGATGTATAGATTTATTTTTCTTCAGAGTTGGGAAGAGTTCAACAATTATTTCTTTAAATATTCTTTGTGTCCCTTTCTCTTCTCCTTCGAGAACTCTCAAAATTCATGTATTAGTGTGACTAATGTGCTACTGGTTTCTAATGCTCTCTTCCTTTCATTCCTTTCTCTTTCTGCCCTTCAGACTGGATAATTTCAATTGTTCTATCTTTAGTTTTGCTGATCCTGTCTTCTGTGTGTTGAGTCTGCTATGTAACCTCTCCAGTGATTTTTATTTTTATTTTATTTCAGCTATGTTACATTGCAGTTCCACAAGTTCTGTTTGGCCCCCTTTTAAAAAATATTTTTTATCTCTTTATGGGTAGTGTCTGTGTATTCAAACAAAAGTCTCCTGGTTTTCTTAAGTTCTTTTTCCATGGTTTCCTTTAGTTCTTTAAGCATATTTAAAAGATGAAAAGTCTTTGTCTATTAAGGACAAGGTCTGGGCTTCCTCTGAAACGATTTCTGCCAATTTCTTTTTTTGTTTGGTTTTTCCTGTGAATGATCTATAATTTTCTGTTTGTTTATATGCTTTGTATTTTTCTTTGAAAATTGGACAATTTCAATATTACAATGTGGTAAGTCTGGAAATTAAATTTTTTCTCATCCCATGGGTTTGCTGTTGATTGTTGTGGGCTTCAGTTGTTCATTTGTTCATTCATTTTTCCAAAAATATTTTTTGCAAAGACTATTTCTTGTTCTATGTGGTCACTGAAGTCTGATTTTTTTTTAATCTTTGCAGTCAACCTGATTTTTTTTTTAATAATTATTTATTAGTGAAGACTAATTAGGGCATATATTAACATATAGTTTGATAGTTTAATGTTGATTGAAAAGCACATTATAAAATGATAGGTATATGTACATTTAAAAAAAATGAAACAATGTATTTATTTTAGATATTTATATAGAAGTATCTAAATTTAAAAGCATAATTTGATTTTTTTTATTTAAATTCACAATTTTTAATTTTTTTTGGTATTTCAATTACAGTTTACATTCAATATTATTCTATATTAGTTTCATATGTACAGTATAGTGGTTAGACAATCATGTACTTTATAGAGTGGTCCCCTAATATTTCAAGTACCCACCTAGTACCATGCAAAGTTAGCACGATATTATTGACTATATTCCCTATGCTGTAATTTGTATCTCTGTGACTACTCTGTAACTACTAATTTCTACCTCTTAATCCCTTTACCCTTTTAACCCAGCCCCTCAACCACCCTCCCCTCTTTCAGTCTGTTCCCTATGAATCTGTTTATATTTTGCTTATTTATTTTGTTCTTTAGATTTCACATGTAAGTGAAATTATTTGTTATTTTTCTTTCTTTGTCTGGCCTATTTCACTTAGCATAATACCTTCTAGGTCCATCCAATGCTGTCGCAAAAGGTAAAATTTTATTATTTTTTACAGCCAAGTAGTATTCCATTGTTTAAATGTACCACAGCGTTTTTATACACTCATCTATTGATGGGCATTTGGGTTACTTCTGTGTCTTGGCTATTGTAAATAATGCTGCAGTGTACATGGGAATGCATACATTCATTCAAATTAGTGTTTTGTGTTTCTTCGGATATATTCCCAGAAGTGGAATCGCTAGATCAAAAGGCCATTTCATTTTTAATTTTTTGAGGAACCTCCACACTGTTT